ATTGTGGCCATAGATGTAGAGACATGTGTGATTTACATTTATGCTTTAGGTATCTGTGAGGCAGGAGATTCCTAGAGTTTTTTACTCTGAAGTGGACAACTCTGAGGGAATGGCCCAAAAGTTTGCAATAAATGTGAAGATGGGGTCGTTTGTTGACCAGGTCATCCAGTGTTAAGATGACTGCCTGAAGTTTGACCAATTGTGTTGACTCTTGGTGATATCCTAAGAGAGGCAACGTAAGCCGGGCGCGGTGGCTCAAGCCTGTAATCCCAGCACTTTGGGAGGCTGAGGCGGGTGGATCACGAGGTCGAGAGATCGAGACCATCCTGGTCAACATGGTGAAACCCCGTCTCTGCTAAAAATACAAAAAAAATTAGCTGGGCATGGTGGTGCGTGCCTGTAATCCCAGATACTCAGGAGGCTGAAGCAGGAGAATTGCTTGAACCCAGGAGGTGGAGGTTGCGGTGAGCCGAGATCGCGCCATTGCACTCCAGCCTGGGTAACAAGAGCAAAACTCCGTCTCAAAAAAAAAAAAAAAAAAAGAGATGCAACGTAGCAAAATTCCACTAATTTAAAAAACAACATGGCCGGGCGCAGTGGCTCAAGCCTGTAATCCCAGCACTTTGGGAGGCTGAGGCAGGTGGATCACGAGGTCAAGAGATCAAGACCATCCTGGTCAACATGGTGAAACCCTGTCTCTACTAAAAATACTAAAAATTAGCTGGGCATGGTGGCGTGTGCCTGTAATCCCAGCTACTCAGGAGGCTGAGGCAGGAGAATTGCCTGAACCCAGGAGGCGGAGGTTGCGGTGAGCCGAGATCGCGCCATTGCACTCCAGCCTGGGCAACAAGAGCGAAACTCCGTCTCAAAAAAAACAAAAAAACAAAACAAAACAAAACAAAAAAACAGAAAAAATAAATATTTATGATGGCTGACAGTATGATTCATACAGACTGCAAATCCACTAATTTAAAAAACAACACATTAAAAAAATCAATATTTATGATGGCTGACAGTATCATTCATACAGTCTGCAAACTCCTATTGTTGTTTACTTGGTTAATCTCAAGGGGCTCCCCAGGTTGCCAACTGGTCTAGGAGAGGGGGTGACTTCCTCCAGTACCATGGCATGTGGCAAGAGACCGAGGACAAAGGAGACCACCCCTCCTGTAGATGGAATATGCCAGAGGGCCCAGATTTGGCTCTATCTTGTTGAGGCCTCGGTAGTCATGCCAAGTTTGTGGGTTGCTGTTTCTTGACCCAAAACAAATGGGCAGCTAGGTATTAGGTCCGTGAAAGTCTCTGTTTCTAGAAGAGCCTAGTATGCAGCTAGTCCTTTTGTTTTAATGGAGGACTAGCATGAGTTTGAGAATGGCAGTTTCTTTTATCAGAAGCCTTGGGAAACTTCTGGCCATCGGATGTGGTCTAGAGACTCAAGGACACATGAGAAAAGGTTGCCAAACCTTGACAGTGAAGGGATCTCTTAGGGTGCTAACAAATGTGTCGGCTGATATCAATGTGGGTAGATTTTTTTTTTTTTTGAGACAGAGTTTCACTCTTGTTGCCCAGGCTGGAGTGCAATGGCACATTCTTGGCTCACCGCAACCTGCGCCTCCTGGGTTCAAGCAATTCTCCTGTCTCAGCCTCCCAAGTAGCTGGGATTACAGGCATGTGCCACCATGTCCGGCTAATTTTTTGCATTTTTAGTAGAGACGGGGTTTCACCATGTTGGCCAAGATGGTCTTGATCTCTTGACCTCGTGATCCACCCTCCTCGGCCTCCCAAAGTGCTGGGATTACAGGCGTGAGCCACCGCGTCCGGCCCAATGTGGGTAGATTTTAAAGCCTTTGTTGGAGAAGTCACCCTGTCTGGTATTATGGGTTATTATACAGATAAGGATACAAGACACTGTGATACTGAGGAGGGGTAAACAACAAAAAGAACGGAATAGAGAACCCAGAAATATGCAAAGAAATATAACCAACTAATTTTTAACAAATGAGTAAAAGCCCCGACCGGACAGCTTATCTGGTGAATAATACTATAAACTTAAAGAACCAACACCAATCCTTCTTAAACTTTTCCAAAAGTCGAAGGAGACAGCACTTCCTAACTCATTTTACGAAGCCAGAATTGCCCTGATGCCAAAGCCAGACAAACACAAGAAAACTACAGACCAATATCCCTTAAGGAAATTGATGTCAAAATTCTAAATCAAATATTAGCAAACCAAATTAAGCAGCATGTTAAAAGGATTATAAAGCATGTCCAAGTGGAATTTATTCCTAGAATGCAAGATGGTTCAACCCATGAAAAACAATCAATATACTATACCATATTAACAGAGTAAAGGGGAAAAATCATCTATCTTGATGCAGAAAAAGCATTTGACAAAAATTCAATACCATTTCATGTTTAAAAAAAAAGCACTCGGCCGGGCGCGGTGGCTCAAGCCTGTAATCCCAGAACTTTGGGAGGTCGAGGTGGATGGATCACAAGGTCAAGAGATCGAGACCATCCTGGTCAACATGGTGAAACCCCGTCTCTACTAAAAATACAAAAATCATTAGCTGGGCATGGTGGCGCGTGCCTGTAATCCCAGCTACTCAGGAGGCTGAGGCAGGAGAATTGCTGAACCCAGGAGGCGGAGGTTGTGGTGAGCCGAGATCGCGCAATTGCACTCCAGCCTGGGTAACAAGAGTGAAACTCCGTCTCAAAAAAAAAAAAAACAAAAAAAAAAAACAAAAAACCAACAACAAAAAAAGCACTCAAGAAATGAATAAAATAAAACTATGTCAATGTAACAAAAGCCATATATTTAAAAAGCCCACAGTTGGCCGGGCGCGGTGGCTCAAGCCTGTAATCCCAGCATTTTGGGAGGCCGAGGCGGGTGGATCACGAGGTCAAGAGATCGAGACCATCCTGGTCAACATGGTGAAACCCCGTCTCTGCTAAAAATACAAAAATCATTAGCTGGGCATGGTGGCGCGTGCCTGTAATCCCAGCTACTCAGGAGGCTGAGGCAGGAGAATTGCCTGAACCCAGGAGGCGGAGGTTGCGGTGAGCCGAGATCGCGCAATTGCACTCCAGCCTGGGTAACAAGAGCGAAACTCCGTCTCAAAAAAAAAAAAAAAAAAAAAAAAAAAAACCCACAGTTAAATCATTCTCAATCGTGAAAAACCAAAAGCTTTCTGATCAGGAACAAGGCAAAGATGTCCTGTTTCTCTACTTCTGTTCAACATGGTACTGGAAGTCCTAGCCAGTGTAATATGAAAGAAAAGAAGTAAAAGGCAGCCAAATTGGAAAGGAAGAAGTAAAATTATTTCTGATCACAGGTGATATTATCTTATATGTTGATAACTCTAAAGGTTTGCAAGATTGAAGAGTTCTGGAGATGAACAGTGGTGGTGGTTGCCTAACAATACGAATCTACTCATTACCACTGAAGTATACACTTAAAATGGTTAGGATGGTAAATTTCATATTATATGTATTTCATCATATTTTTTTTAACATTTTTAAATAAACCACAAAAAACTATGGTGCACTCACCCAGCAGAGCACTACTCAGTAGTAAAATGAACCATACATACACAAAGCATGGATGATTCTCAAGAAAATTATGCTGCATGAAAGAAATCAGACCACAAAAGAGTATAAATACTTTATGATTCCAATTGTATTAATTCTAGAAAAGCCAAACAAATCTAAAGTGAAAAATGTAAATCAATGGTTTCCTGGGGAAGGCAAGGAGAGATTGTAAAGGGCGTGAGGTAGCTCTGCATGTGATGGATACATTCATTATCATGATTATGGTGTTGGTTCCCTGAGTGTACAAAACTTACCAAATATGCACAATTATTGCATGACAATTACATATCAACAAAGCACCAAAAGGAACTGTTGCACATAAAAATCCAACCTCCTACTCATTTTAGAAAATCAGATTTGGCAACCCTATATTGACTCTGCCATCTTTCTTCTTGCTTTGGGAACAAAGAATGGCTGGCTACGTCACAGATGCTATAATCCCTGCAGTATAAGATCTGCTTTTTCTTAGTCCCTTTTTTCCTGCTAGCGCAGCACTGGCCTTGAGATGCACAGCACACAGACAGTAATCCATAAAACTAAAATCTTGAGATTATCTGCTCTGACAGTAACATTAGTCATAGGACAGAGGTCTAGAGGTCCTGAGAATTTCTGCAAACTCTGAATCCTGCACAGCCACATTCAAGGGAACATTCATCATGGGTGCACCTTTAGAACAGGTCCGTTTCTGCTGGTTTACTATAATCTCACCTACTCCCTATTAATCACACCCAGTGTTTTTGTACAAATTACAGTCCCAGCAGGGCCTTATAGGTCTTAACAGTTAAGAGACACCTGCCTAATGCTGAACTTCAGGGCATATGGCCCCTTGGCAGGTGCTAAACAGCAACTGCTTTACAGTGTTGGGGACTATGGGGCACCCCTTGAGAATAAGGGACCCAATTCATGCTGTTCCCGCATGCAGTGGAGGTTGTCACAACTGCCCCCTCCTCAGGGTACAAATTCATGCCATTCAGATCATAATAAATTCCTACAATTTTTCCTAGCAGGACTTGGTAGCAATGTAAATGAGGCTCAGTCCCCTCCTCCTGTCCCCTCCAAGATAATCTGGCCACCCCTTTAGTTTGATAGATCTTAACTCTGTTCTTTTTTTTTTTTTTTTTTTGAGATGGAGTTTCGCTCTTGTTGCCCAGGCTGGAGTGCAATGGCACTATCTCGGCTCGCCGCAACCTCCGCCTCCTGGGTTCAGGCAATTCTCCTGCCTCAGCCTCCTAAGTAGCTGGGATTACAGGCCGCGCCACCACGCCCATCTAGTTTATTTTATTTTTAGTAGAGACGGGGTTTCACCATGTTGACCAGGATGGTCTCGATCTCTCGACCTCGTGATCCACCCGCCTCAGCCTCCCAAAGTGCTGGGATTACAGGCTTGAGCCACCGCGCCCGGCTTAACTCTGTTCTTGAACCACCCTACACAGTGATCAGACCATGGAAGATTAAAGGCAGCTTTATTATAAGGCCTTTATCATTGCACAAACCAGGGTGATACACAGGAGATAAGTTGTTGCACTGAGTAACATGAAGGCTGGACAAATCCATCACAGGCATAACACGAGACCAACAGTGTCCCAGAGAAAGGAAAACCTTCTCTAGAACAAGCTGTCAGCAGAACCCTGCTCAGGTCTTCACAGCCAAAGGCTGATCATGTCCACAGCTAAACCAGACATCAAGGGTGGGAATGACATCTCCCCATGGCTTCAGACTACTCCCAATTCCCTTTAGGGATTGGAAAGAGAGAGGAGAGGTCTGCCTTCCCTGAGCACAGTGGAGTGGTCAACATACTCTCTGGAGAGCTGCAGTGTGTGGTGCTGATGTGGCTTCTATCACAACCCCAGCAGTGAAAAAATGCTGATAAAATCCATGGTAAGAGAATGTAACTTGGCTCCAGAAAGCTTCCAACATAGCTAGCATTCCTAGGGAACCTCCCCAGGGTGGGTACTTGGATGAAAAAGGTTCGACTTGTAGTTGACAGCACCCTCATAAGGTCTGTTCTCACAGCTTATCTCTGCTGTGTGCTGTTGCTTTGAACAGGGATGGAGCACATTCTCCATGCTCCTTTCTCTGGTATGAATCTTCTGATGCCGAATGAGGGTAGGCCTTTGGCTGAAGGCTTTCCCACATTCACTGCACTCATAAGCCCTATCTGGTTTGTGAACTTTCAGGTGCTGCCTCAGATTGGACCTCTGCCTAAAGGTTTTCCCACATTCGCTGCACTCATAAGGCCGCTCGCCGGTGTGAAGTCTCCGGTGGTTATTGAGGCTGGAGCTTTGGTTAAAGAATTTCCCACATTCACTACACTGGTAGGGCCGTTCGCCAGTGTGAAGTCTCCGATGGCTATTGAGGCTGGAGCTCTGGCTAAACAACTTTCCACATTCGTTGCACTCATAAGGCCGCTCACCGGTATGAACTCGCTGATGTTTCATGAGGTCTGAGTTTCGGCTGAAGGCTTTCCCGCACTGGCTGCACCCGTGAGGCCGCTCACCAGTGTGAACTATCTGATGCTGAATGAGGCTGGCGATGTGGCTGAAGTATTTCCCACATTCGTTGCACTTGTAAGGTCTTTCTCCAGTGTGAACTCTCCAATGTTTAATCAGGCTGGAGTTGCAGTTAAAGGATTTCCCACATTCACTGCACTCATGGGCACTTCTGCCCGTGTGAACCCTCTTATGATGAATGAGGTTAGAACGCTGGCTGAAGAACTTCCCACAGTCACTGCACTCATATGGCTTTTCACCAGTGTGAACCCTCTTGTGCTGGATGAGGTTGGAGCTTCGGCTGAAGAACTTCCCACAGTCACCGCACACGTGAGGGCTTTCACCAGTGTGAACCCTGAGATGTTTAACGAGGCTGGAGTGCTGGCTGAAGAATTTCCCACATTCGCAGCACTCATACGGTTTTCCTCTATTGTGAACTTTCTGGTGCTGGATGAGGCCAGCGGCGTAACTGAAGAAGATTCCACATTTGCTGCACTCATAAGGCCTTTCTCTGCTGTGGATTCTCTGGTGCTGAACAAGAGTGGATTTGTCATTGATGGCATCCCCAGATTCACGGCACTTGTTATGCCTCTGTGTGGTGTGAAAATCCACCACACCTTCAGTGGCCTTATGTGGCTCCCCATCGCTGGGAGTGACATCATGCTGCAGAAACCCTGCTCTGGCCACAAAGTCCTTCCCGCCCTCCCTGCAGGTGAAAAGCTGCTCTGATGTGTGGTCTCCGTTGGTCTCCACAGGCAAAACCTGGTCCTCCTCCCTTCCAATGGGGCTGTGTACATTCTGCTGCACCTGTTTCTGGGCAAGGTTTGCACTGAACTCATAGCCTTTCACATATGCCTCACACACAAATGGTTTCTGCCTGGGATGTGCTGCCTGGTGTTCAGCCAAATGCAAGATGTCTTTCAAGCACAGGCAACATATGTCAGAGGGGCAGGTCTTCTTGGGGCACAGAGCTGGCTTAGGACTCCTGTCCTGTGCCGCTCCTTCCACAGAAACATTATGCTCAGAAGGGAACTCCTTGCCCTCTGTTCCATGGCAAAAATCTGAAAGCAGAGAAATGCTGGTGACATTCGTATAAACTTTACCTAGAAGGAAAATGCCCCATCACCTACACTTGGCTGACCTAAGAATGAGTCCACAGGATTGCTGGTAACAAGAGAGTACTCAGGTCAGGATAAAGAATAATCTGCTCCGCCATATACTGTGCCTGGTCAGGTCACAAAATACGGGAGGCCTTATCGGGACCAGGGACACAGGAAGGGGGACTATATTGGGCAGAGAGGCAGGGTCTCTTACTCACTTCTCTTTAAAGTGCTTTTGGCAGGGCTGGGGCTGCTGGTAACCTGTCAAGGCTATGCAGTGAGAGCATCTAGACCCAGAAAAACCTGCAGCTGAGTAGCTGGTATTCAAGCATGTCAAAGAAAGAGCACATATCTCACAACATATTAAGTGTAGGCCGATGTTGCAAAGTGACGCAGGGGAAGCTGAAAGAGAGAAATGGAGGCCAGAAATGTGCGGCACAGCCAGGGGCCCCAATTCAGAATAGCAAGGACAAGTGGACAACGTATCAAGCACAGGGAAGGAAAAGTAGAGATGAGGTCTGGCTACTGGCATTGGTACCAAATGATGAAGAACAGGAATGGAAGATGCTGTATGATGTAAACACAGTGGTGAGGTCACATCCTCCCCCAGCTCCCATCGCTGCTTACCAGAGCCAGGCCTGCCATAAGCCCCCCTGGCCATGGCTGAAGTCATATCCACACTGTCAGGCACCCAGGGCTCTTTCCCCATCTCCAGCTGGGAAACAATGTAGGACCTGAAAGATATAAGCCCTAAGGGAAAGACAGAGTGGGTCAGTGGCCAGCACCTGCCCAGTTGAACTACCCCATGACAGACTATGGGACAGGAAATCCGAAGAGGATATCTGTACAGGGAGAGAGGGAGAGACAGCTCCCACGCTGTTGCGTGGGTGGATTCCAGAGAGGGAAATCCGTAGGACACAAGGGACATCCCGGTGGTTACAACAAGCAGTAACCGCATCAGTGCTAGGAATTCCTGGCACAGTCAGGCTTAGGAAATAATAGCAAAATGAAAGGCGCAGAATCTAAACCACAGAACTGTCAGATCTGGATAATCACCCAGGAGGGAGGGAATGGCCGAATCAGAGGGAGTCGTGCACCTGACTGCAACACCCCTCATGCTTGGAGCTTCCCTGTAAGGCTTCAGGCAGCAGGTGTGGGGGCCACTCAGGGAGAGAAGTGGGCAATGCACATAGCTCAGCCCTAGAAGCCGCAACACGCATACCAAGAAAGTAGGGATGGAAGCAGTACCAGTGGTCTGGCTGTGGGAAGAAAAGAGCTGTTTCTTGGGCAAAGGGGACAGGCAGAGATGAGCTTGGGACCTTGGGGCAGGGGTGACGGCCTTACCCAGTGAGGCTATAAGTGCAAAGTTTTCCAGCATCACATCGCAGTACAGGAGCCTCTGAGCCTCATCAAGGAGCCCCCACTCCTCCTCTGAGAAGCAAACGGTCACATCCTCAAAGGTTACGGAGCCCTGCCATGATGGGGACAGTTCGTTCCATGATCAGTCTCTGTCCTTGGGACTCCCTATCCATACCCTGCTCACTCTCTCCCCAGCTCCAGGAGGTAGCAGACCCTGCCTCTGTGGGCACCCGGCGCACAGCAGCAACAGGCAGGGTGCAGAGAGGCACCCTCTAAGCTCTGGGCCTTAAGTGCAGCCTCTTCCCCTAGTGTCGTCAATGCCATGCTTCTCCGATCCAAACGTGGAATTCTCCCTTAAACCCCAGTCCAGAGCCCTGGGGTGAACAGCTCACGCTCCCTCCCACATGCAATTTCATTCTTCGGACTACACCATCTTAACAGCTCCAGACCTCACAACGGCCTCCCACTGCCACTGCTACCCTCTCCCCATCCCGGCCCCTATTCACAGTCATCTCCATGGGCTCCCACCTGTCACTCTGCTCACGACATCTGGAGAGTGCTTGGCAAACACAACCCCTATCCCAGCCTGCCCCAGACCTTTGATGGCCTCCACTGCCAAGGGCAACACCCAGGTAAGGGGAAGAGGGAGCACTCCACCCTTGCCTTGGAGACCTCCAAGTCCCCTGGCCTGGGCTTCAACCTAAGCAGCCATCCATGGCAACCTAAGCCACACGGATGTCACATATCCTTGGCCTTTTTTGTTGCACATTCTGACCCTGTCATCACTCACACTCATTAAAAAAAAAAAAAAAAAAAAAAAAAAAAGCAGGGCGCGGTGGCTCAAGCCTGTAATCCCAGCACTTTGGGAGGCCGAGGCGGGTGGATCACGAGGTCGAGAGATCGAGACCATCCTGGTCAACATGGTGAAACCCCGTCTCTACTAAAAATACAAAAAATTAGCTGGGCATGGTGGCGCGTGCCTGTAATCCCAGCTACTCAGGAGGCTGAGGCAGGAGAATTGCCTGAACCCAGGAGGCGGAGGTTACGGTGAGCCGAGATCGCGCCATTGCACTCCAGCCTGGGTAACAAGAGCGGAACTCCGTCTCAAAAAAAAAAAAAAAAAAAAAAAAAAAAAAAAAAAAAGTGAACCCCTTTGGCCATCCTACTCCCCACCCACCTAAGGCCAGCAACTCTGCCAACTGACCCCTCTTGTCCCAAGCTAATTCCCCAGTCTGAGGACAAACCCCATCAAGGGTCACCACGGAAGCCTGGAGAGAACACAGATAAGCATATAAGCACCAGCCCAAGCCTCACGGCAGTATTACCTCCTCTACTGCTAACCCTCAGCATCCATCTCATTCATGTCTACACTCTCTGGGAAGATCCGGCCACCTGCCAGACCCTCTTGTAACCGGCTGGCAGGAAGACAGGGGCTCAGCTCCCTCCCCGTGCTCGCCAAAGATGTAACCAGGCGTGACCAGGTTTTTGGGCTCACTTGCCCCAGGAATGGGGAAAGGGTCCTGGCAGCGTGGTGAGTTTACCATTCAAGTAAATATCGGACCCAAATAGTTTTTCAGAATGCGATTTATTGGGGGGGGGGGAGGGAGGGAGGGAGGGACAGAGGGAGAGAGAGAGAGAGCGCGCGCGCGCGAGAACCCACTCCCATGCTGTTGTGGGAGGGGATCCCAGAGAGGGAAATTCGTGTAGGTAGACAGTGGGAATTTCAACCATTCCCTCCTTATTCCTGTTCTTGTCCAATGAGAGGAGTTCTTTCAAACGTCCTCTGGAGTGATTGATCTTTGACTCTGATCCTGGATTGGTTGTTTGGGCCCACAACAGAGCCCCTTCTCCCAGGGCCTTTAGCGGTCTTTCTGAACAAAAGAAGCTCACCTGGAATTTCCACCTACTCGGAGGGAAATTACCGCCTTTGAAACAGGCAATTTTCCTTAACACAGTCCCTCATTCTGACACCCCCACATACCCCCACTGCCACCACCATGACCACTACTGTTCCTCACCTGTCTTTACGATGCCAAACAAGCCACAGTTCCCAAGCAAGAATCCTCTTTTCAGTTTTCCAGCCCCACCTTCCTCTTTTTTCAACATCATTGTCACCACTACTTCAAGTTTTACCTCCAAAATCTGACACACAGCTACGCTCCCGTCCACACACCAGATGCCACATTTTGGATGTTTCTAACTGTTGAAATAAACAAAGACCAACAAAATGAGAAAAGCTCAGGCTACTTATTCAAAGCTCGCTATAGCAAGAGAGACTCAGTGCAAGCCAAGAGTGGGAAAGCCTGTAATCCCAGCTACTGGGAAGGCTGAGGAAGGAGAATTGCTTGAACCGGGGAGGCAGAGGTTGCAGTGGGCTGAGATTGCACCATTGCACGCCAGCCTGGGCAAAAAGAGTGAGAAACTCTATCTCCGGGGGGAAAAAAAAGGAAAGGAAGGTTTCAGGCGTGCCATGATTGGAGGATCCTATTTGCAGGTGGGTGAACTAGAAGTGGGCATCCTATGTGATTGGTTAGGGTGTATAACTGCCTTTCTCTAGTTGGTCTTAAGTCAGAAGCAGGAGTTAAAATTAAGGAAGGTGTCTGTTATTAGTCAAACCCTGGCCGTTGGGACTGCTCATTACAGAAGTTATTGTTTTAACTTCCTGGATTGTCAGTCCAGACAGCAATCTAGCTTCCCGCGGGTCTGACATATAGTAGGCTGGCTTCCTGCTGCGTGGGTTGTTTATTGTAGATAAGGGGGTTGGTTTCCGGGACAGGTTCTGGGGCATGATCTGGCCATTGTTAACATGAATATCCAGTCTCTCATAACCTTAACAAATCCCTCAGAACACCCTAACTGTGTGTCTAGCTGCCCACTCTTCAACTGCACTCCGGGGTCTCTGGGACATCACAGGCTCAACCTGGTCAAAACCTAACTTCTACTGGTTCCAGGGAAAATTCCTCCTACAACCAACTTAGTTCAAGAAGCTAGATTCATCAAACGAAAAACCACTGATTCCTCCCTTTGTCCCCCTCCACATCAGAAATTTTAGTCAGTCTGACTTAAAAGACATCAGGTTCCCAATCACTTTCTCTAACTCTAGTCCCCACCCTGGTCCGGCCAGCAGCAGCACTGGCCTGGGCTATTCCACTAGGCTACTCCTTGGCCTCCCTCCATGCGGCTCACCCCACATTCAGTTCTCCACTCTGCATCCATAGGGAGGCTGTTAAGACCTGAGTCACAGCATCTTCCTCCTCTGCCCTAAACCTTCCATGGCTCCCATCGCCCTCAGAACAGAGGCTCAGCTCTCCGGCCTGCCGTTCCGGGCTGTCTTCGGCCCACCAGCTCTCCGGTTCCAGCAGACATAATATTAGTAACAGTGACCTGGGCAGGGTTCCTGAACACTCCCAACGCAGTCTCCACACCATACCTCACCCCACCGCCAAGCTTTTGCGCGAGCTGGTTCCTGTGCCTGCAAAGCCCTTTCTCCCTTCATCCCATTACATTTCAGAAACGGAAGCCTCTCTATAAAAACCCTGCCCTGATTCAGGACCCCAGCTGGGAGCGTCTCCCTTCCAGGGTCCCCTGACAAAAAAGCAAGGAAATGGGAACGGCGAAAAGTCCTGGAACAAAGCCATCTTTTGCATCTCAACGCCAGGAACAGGAGGGCCTGACGCCCAAGCACTCACCTGCGCGGGGCCCCGCAGCGCCGCCGCTGCCGCCATTGGAGTCCGTGATCTGAGCAGGGCTCCAGGGTGCGGGCGACCGCGGGGCGGGGAGAAGGGGTCTGGCGGGCTCAGGCTACCACCACCTGGCCGTGTCCCGTGCGCGGTTTGCACTCCCAGCCTGTCTCCCCGGTGCAAAATGCGCACGGGGCCCCGGGGCGCAGGCTCCGGGGGCGCGGAGAGCGCGCAGCTCCGCCGGGCACTCCAGTTGCAAGGGGTCACGGCTGGTGCAAAGGCGCGGAGGGGGTCCCGGCCTCACAGTCCCCCGCGCGGTCGGGGAAAGCCGGCGGGGCAGCTTCAAGGGGTCAGCCCCACTTCCTCCGGGCTCAGCCTCCCCGCCGGGAAATGGCCTGTGAGGCTGCAGCGCAGGAAGTTCCGGCCCCCTCCCAGGCGGCGCGGAGAGGCGCCCTCTCCCGGACTGTCACAGGGCTGGCGCTAGCTGATACACAGACAGGGCCTGGGGATCGCGAGTTTCTGCATAGCCTCTCGCCTGGTGGGGGGTCCGGGGCGGGACTGAGAGCGGACCTCGCCGCGTCTCCACCGCAGCCTGCAGCCCTCGGGCGTTCGTCTTAAAGGGGCAGCTCCGGAGCCTGCGGCTGCCAGCGCGAGACCCCGCCTACCTCGGAGGTCCAGGAGGGGCTCAGGCAGTGCTCTTCCTGCACGTGTGGGCAGCGGCGGGCCGCTGGACCCCTAAGGGACCTCAAGTCACACTGAAAAATGGGGATAGTACCCAATGGGCGGGGTCTTTGCCTAGTAATATTGAATGTTGCTGTCATTCAGGGCTTCTCAAACCAGCAACGTCAGCATCACCTGGGGATTGGCTGAAAATGCAAGTTCTGGGGTAACAACGTAAACCTAAGGACTCAGAAATTCTGGGGAAGGGACTCAGCCTTCTCTGCTTTTCGCGGGGAGGCGGGGGATGGGTCTCGTTCTGTTGCCCAGGCTGGAGTGCCGTGGCGTGGCGTGATCATAGCTCACTGCAGACTCCATCTCGGGCTCAAGCCATCCTGCCTCAGCCTACCAGGTAGATGGGACTACAGGCGTGCACCATCAAACCCAGCTAATTTTTTTTTTTTTTTTTTTTTTTTGAGACAGAGTGTCGCTCTTGTTACCCAGGCTGGAGTGCAATGGCGCGGTGTCGGCTCACCGCAACCTCCGCCTCCTGGGCTCAGGCAATTCTCCTGCCTCAGCCTCCTGAGTAGCTGGGATTACAGGCACGCGCCACCATGCCCAGCTAATTTTTTGCACTTTTAGTAGAGACGGGGTTTCACCATGTTGACCGGGATGGTCTCGATCTCTTGACCTCGTGATCCACCCGCCTCGGCCTCCCAAAGTGCTGGGATTACAGGCTTGAGCCACCGCGCCCGGCTCCATCCCCTTTTCAGTTCCTCTTCCCACTGAGAGCCGCTTTCACCGGTAATAAAATCCCCTGCATTTACCATCTTCAATTCGTTTGTGTGATCTCACTCCTCCTGGATGCCAGACAAGAACTTGGGTGCCACGAGTGTGGTTCCAAAGGCTGTCACACTGACCTTCCACTGAGCTGTTAACAATTAAGCCATCCATGGATGGCAAAGCTAAAAGGACACTGTAACACTTCCTTTGGGACTTCAGGGGTCACAGTCATTTTCCGCTAGATGCTGCCGCAGGGCCCGTATAAAATTTGCTCTTGCTGGCATCCAAAAGCTCACTCCAGCTCCTGCACCTGCTCACCTTTACTCCCCTTCCCATGAGGGGTGGCACAGCGTGTAGGGGAGTTCGTCCCTGCTAGTGCCCATGCACTCTAGTTCCCACCGAGGAAGCGGTCAAGGAAATATCCTGCTTCAGAATGACCAAATCAAGCTAATTAACATATGCATCACTTCACATAGTTTTGTTTTGTTTTGAGACAGGGTCTCATTCTCTCACCCAGGCTGGAGTACAGTGGCACTATCACGGCTCATAGCAGGCTTGACCCCTTGGGCTCAAGCCATCCTCCCACCTCAGCCTCCTGAGTAGTTGAGACTACAGGTGTGCACCACCACACCCACGGAGAGAAGTTTGCATCTCTGTCCTGGGGAGAAGGGAGGCTTTGATGGACATAGTCAAGAGGGAGTTGCAATGAATGGGAATGAGACCATTTCTCCATGCCCCACCTCCACAGTGAGGAAGTCTCCCTCACGTCTTCTGAGACCCCTCCGGGAACTCCTTCACTGGTGGACTCTGTAGGGCCATTTTCCTCTGCCTATCAGGGTGGCGCTCGAGTGTCCTTCTTTAAGAAAAGACTGAGCAACGATCACAGATTGGGGGGGGTCACTGAGACAATAACAAGTAAGCGCAACATGGGATCCTGGAATGCAAACACTGGCTGATGAAATCCAAATAAAGTCTTGAGTTTGGTTAATAGGATTGTACCAATGTGAATTCCTTAGTTTTGAGAAGTGCTTCGTGGTCTTGCGAGCTGTTGGCATTGGGAAAGAGGAGAAAAAAGTATATGGAAACTCACTTGCATATCTCTTAAAATGAGAGTTTCCTTATTTATTTATTTATTTGAGATGGAGTCTCACTCTCTTACCCAGGCTGGAGTGCAGTGGCATGGTCTCGGCTCACTGCAAACTCTGCCTCCCAGGTTCAAGCGATTCTCCTGCCTCAGCCTCTGGAGTAGCTGGGATTACAGATGCCTGCCACCACGCACAGCTAATTCTTGTATTTTTAGTAGAGATGGGGGTTTCACCATGTTGGCCAGGCTGGTCTTGAACTCCTGACCTCAGGTGATCCACCTGCTTCAGCCTCCCAAAGTGCTGGGATTATAGGTGTGAGCCACTATGATCAATGATACTTTTAGTTTTAATGGTATCATATATAGAAAGGCTGCCCCAATGCTGACATTAATTGGAAAAAAAAATACTCTTCCATATTTACTTATAGTATCTCACGGTTTCTGTGCTTTACAGCGAGGGTTTGCTGCATTTGGAATGGATCCTGATTTGAGTTGCTGGCTACGTGCCTTGCCTTCCTCTATAACACCATTCCCAAGGCAGTGCCTGAAACCTACTAGAGAGTAGTTCATACAGTAGTTGTTGTATGAAAATATTAGTGCTCAGAACTGCCAACACGTCCTCTGCTAAAACTGCTGTTCTTTGTTGCCTGCAATGCACCAGACTGTGTGTCTCCAGTTTCCCTTGGTTCTCATAGAAAAATTCAGAGGATTTCCCCATAGAGAATGGGCATGGATCTCTCATGGGAGGAGGGAACTCCTGGTAATCTCTCTTCAGCAGAGGGCGAAGACCACCATGGCTCCAATTGACTGCAGCTGTGTGTAGAGTGATACTAGAGTCAGTAAAAGTGCCTCTAGTCTTGCTAAATCCCTTTTCACGAAATGGGGTGGCCACTAAGGGATGCCTAGCTCCACACTGTAGAAAACATCCTCTTCTACGTGTGGCCCTGGAAACCACTGCTAATGTGACACGAGTGTCGGAAAGGTTTCCTCTAGTGTTTGAG